TATATAATTATCATCATTATTATTAATTATCAATATTACAACTATTACTCTATTATTCTTCTAGGATCTTTGCATACGGGTCTGAAAGTTGGATGACCAACAGAATCTAAAAGCCCGTTCATAAAGTTCATTGCAAACAAAGGTTCCGTTATGTCTTTTTTATGTAAGCCTAAAGCGGCTAAAACAAAATTACCGGAGATTTACGTCTATCACCTTCAACGTCAAAAACTTTACAACACCACACTCAAGCGTAGGTCTACGTCTGAGAAACGCGCTTTGAGAGATGGAGTGAGTTATTTTCGAGACTCACGTGGAGCCCGTGGAGACGTCAAGACAGTCTGGGGATAAATCGACAAGCTTAAACTGAAATGAGGTCGGGGGCCGGGTGGTGTTGCTGTCTCAAAATTAGCAATTTGTAGGCAAGATTACTGAAAGTCATTCATTTCAATGAACCTGTGTATGCATCCAAAGAGCGATTTTTAAAATAGGAATCAAAGAAAAAAACTTTTTTATTACTGGATCAAGATTTTTTATTATTGATTTGGTCGCTGGCCTGAAGAAGTGCCATACAAAGTTTCGTGGACATGGGTACATTAATAACAGCTAGAAAGTTTTTAACGAGGTCAGACGACATTGAACAACTAATTATTATTGGTACTAGTAAAAGTACCCGTTCTACGAACGGAATAATAATGAAGAAGTATTAGGAAAGTTAAGAAGAGGAAAAAGACTGAAAACAGGAAAGAAACAAAACATAAAAATTTTACCTTTGAATTTTTCCATGTAGCACTCCCTCTTGACTACCTCTAGGGGTAAGACTTCTTCCCTCTCTTCGAAGGCGAGGCATTTTCCCCCTAAAGTTCCAGCTCAATCACTTTTTAAAAAAAGAGCTAGGCCTACATGCCAATTGTTGCTTCCTAGAAGAACCTAATCTAGATTCTAGATCTAGCCTAGATCTCGAGGGATTATAAAGACATAGGCCAACAATTGAAAGAAGGAGCCTAGGCCCATAGATAGATCTAATTTTAGAAGTTCACATTTTTAACAACCGACAGGCGTCACAGATGGCCTAGATTTCTAGAATAGCACAGCAGGAAAAATCCACTTTCAAGAATACTTTCATGATTCTTGATCTGGATCTAGATTCACCGACAGCCTAGTTCTAGACTTTAGATCTATTCTCAACAGGAAAAAATCCACGTTCAATACTTTCATCATTCTTGATCTCAATCTAAGATTCGCATATAGATCTAGCTTAGATCTAGATCTGAGAATCTATAATGCACAGCAAGAAAAAAATCCACTTTCAATATTCAATAGTTATCGAAATATCACAGATCTAGATTCTATTTTCATTTCATGATTCTTCTTGATTTCGATTTAGATCTAGATTCTTGAACTCATCTAGACACTGTGCACAAAATACATTCATCCTTTGGCGTGGGGGCTAAATGCACTGCAGGAGAAATCTACTTTCAATACTTTCATGATTTTTTATCTTGATCTAGATATTAGATCTAGACATACACACACATGCGACTACACGCTGGGTGTGAACCGGGCTACGATTGGCTAAACCTTTGACTTTGACCCATGAATACATTAAGTAGGCCTACGGTAGG